ATGCAATACACCTTTCGCATGCATGCATGAAGTAGAATATCGCCATGAAAGAATCACTAATGCATGCATGTTCTGCGTTTTCTCAACTTCTCGCAAAGCCAAAGGATACGCATGCATCTTGTTCTATGCATCAACTAGTGTACATGAATAATAATATATATAAGAGGATGATTAAACAGTACTGCAGCAAGATCTGTACGACTATGTAAGTTATCATTCTGCTCATTTGTAATATGTTCAAGAAAATGCTTTATCGATATTTTGACTTTTTATATCGCCTTTTGGGGTAACGTTGTATTAAAAGTTGAGAGCTTATATCCGATCATGTATTATATGTCGCGAGCCTATAACCGTGTGAGAATAGTAATGCCGCGAAAACTATAATTAGGGTGATTTGGAAATTTGCAGACGTTTATGGTTCAATTCCAAACAACAAAAATATACTTGTCTGTTTATATGCTACATTTCAACAAGTGAATGCTACTCCGAGCTACTGTGTGACATTGATATTACCTTTTTTATAAATAATCACGTTTCTATAGTGACATACAGTCAGTCTATGTCTATGTCCTTGCCCGTGAAATCTAACCGCTGGCAAATCGTTATTCCTATTGCTTATCTTATTACCAACTACTCTTTCCCTCCACCATGTGCTTTGCAACGTCAAGTGGAAATGACAATCCTTTCATCAGTAAATCGGTAATAGACTTGCAGCCATCGATACAAGCCTCAAACGGCGAACAACAAATGTACCACCCGGCGCAGAAAAATCCAACCGGCCATGCAAGAAAGATTAGCACTAGAAACCAAATGATCGCCCAAAGAACATTCATTTTATCGACACTTGACAAGAGTTGCTTATGTGAATCTAGAAGTATGGATAATTTATAATACAACTACATCAGTATGTAATGTGTAGCTATATATATATTACATACTGTATATAGGGTGTAGCCGCGCTGTAACATCCAAACATTACTCAAGTTAAATTTACTATAATACCGAACTCCTCTAATTGTTATGTTGAATATTATGCCAGAGCAATTAATTGTGCATGACAGTAACATACTGAATGTTTTAATATAAAAAGCGATCGCGCGGCGAGTTTTGGTATACTCTTAAATGACCATACATTTATCATATCCGAATTGGATTGCAACACAACTTTTGCACCGGCTTTCTTGGATACACACAATTAACACATAACATACAATAATAACAATTACACAGCAAATCTTTTAAGAATAGAGCCAAGCTTCGTTTTGACGTTTTGGTAGAGTCAAGACTTCTGATAGCCGCGTTGCAGTTGCCACTACTGGTGGCAATGTTAAGCTATATCGATATAGCGTTATAGACGCCATCTATACACCCTTAAATGTCTTATATAACTGCTATAGTATGCTAAGCCGCGTTTTCTGAGACTATTGTATAGCCATATAAAAAGAATCCAAACCTACCTGATGACGATAACTAGGCTTCAATGTATTTTAGGTCAGTTGATCTGATACAGTCAGGTATTATTAATCTTGACTTAATATTGCAACGAAATCTAAAAGACAGTCCGTGACGAATTGACTGACTAGATATCTGTACGAATGTTGATCCGCTTGATCGGCTGTTAATTTGCATTTTTAACTATATTTGCCTGATTGGGAGCTTTGTGACATGCAAATAAGCATTGCTTCACGGGGGCATTAATTATTGGCCGCTAATCTAGAAAGATCTTTCCAAACAAAGAATAATATATCAGGCGAATAATTGATACAACAATTCACCGATACGTGGGAGCAATATGAACCATGATATACAGAGTGTCCCCCAAAAAAATCCCCTCTATTGAAATCAAGCCTTTGTTAGAATCTGATTGCCTTAATATTATGATAAACCCAGATGAAAGCAAGACGCTTTATTTGAATGCCTCGACCTTGATGATGCACTCAAGTTCCAACAAAAGCTTCATTTCAGTAGGGGGACTTTTTTTTGGGACACCCTGTTGATTGAGATTCAGGCTGGCGGATCCTGCAGTGGAAACAAGAGAAAGGCAGTGAATAATTGTCATTGAGGCATTCTATCTTTGTACTTTTGTGATACCCAAACAGGGCCGAAATTATGAATATTCACCTCCCCCCCCTGTTGTTGGAAAGTTGGAAATTCGGCCATTCACAATCGTTTTCCTATGCATAATAACTTCAGGGAAGAGTCGACGTCCATTTGACAGCAGAACTCGAACTGTCAACACCACTGCGGAAACAGCATCTAGCTGATCTAACTGAGCTGGAGCGAGCAAGTTGATTTGGCTATTTTGAGGCCCCAGAGTACACGATACCGGATTAGTAGCGTACTAGATAGGATGTAGCAATCATGTAGGAATCTAGTACGCTTCGCGGAATGAAAATCACTCCGCTTTGGAGGTGACATGAAGAATGATCCGGTACATTTCTGTTTCCGTGTAAACGCCCTAATCCGGTATTATAGTATGTTTGGCGGGAAAAAGAAATGAACGTCAAACGCTTGCAAAGGGACCGATTCCAAAAAAAGTCAGTTTATTTCACTGTCTGTCTACGAGAATATATGTTTTGGACTCGCGCAATGCAAATTCAAATAAATTGGATAAAGAAATTTTAAGCCTCGTTTAACCTCATTATTTTTTTATCATCTCATTATATATCGTTTGAATTGCATTCCAGGCGAGTCACGTGACAAAAATACGACCTATAAACTAGTCCTATTAACATATCTCGCATAAGTTGCAAATGTTGTTAATAACCGTTTGGAGTTTCAGTACCTCAGGCCAGAGCTCCTTACAGGACGCCATGTTAACCGGGATCATGAGGTATATTTGAAACAATGTGATTGTGTGCCGATCTGAATATGTTTCCGCGTGATCCTAAGTGTGTTCTCGTGTCTCGTGACCTGTAACAACATCCTGCCACTCAGACAGTCATTGCATTGCACTCAATTGCACTATACGCAGAAAATATATTTCAAAATTTTTGGGAACCCGAGTGTGAACCGAAGCCGAAGGTAAGCTACAATATATTAAGTGCTTTAAAAATCACTGTCATAATTAATGGTAATTAATACTTGAGAAGATAGATGAAGAATCTTTATCATACGCTAGGAAAAGAATGGCTATGTCTATGCAGATGTAATATGAATTTACTGATAATTTAGATCGTTAATATTGTCACTCATGGCGCAAACAGACCTATATATACTAAAACAGGGTGTTATTCTTAACAGGAATAAGAGAATATTATGAAGCGATAAACTATATATATGATTGAATAAAATCAAATTATTGGTATAAATCAAATTAAAGCAAAATTTAGCAATTACAGGGAATTATCCTCGGAATTATCTATTATGTAACATCAGACTTTTACTACGTTAAAAGGCCAAAGGGCTGCATATGTCCGCGGCATGAGCCCAAAAGAAGCTGTAAGCTAAATCACCGTTTTATCAATGCAATAGATAATAAATAAATTTTCAGTCAATAAAAGAACATGAACTCTAACCTATTATGGAAATCTCACAGGAGATATTAAATAGGTCATACCATTTTGTCTGACTTTGTGCAAAACAGCTCGAAAGAAAACAATGATATCCCATTTTTGCACTAAACCACAGTTAAACCAAATAGGAAACTAATATACTGCAGGTTGTTGTACAATACTATGCAGGCCTATGCATGCAGGCCGCGTAGTCTACGACTACGAGTGTTGGCTTGCCATGACAACAATGACTGGATCTCTCAGCACAGTGAAACACGAGAAAACGGGCGCATAAGATTACGGCCCCGCATTTGTATGCACCTGGTCCTATGTCAACGTAGTTTCAGTCAACTTGATCTTATTCATTCTTTGGATTCGTGTAACTGCTATTCTAGACTTTATTTGAGTAATATTAAGGCTTTGACAATTGTACCGGTACGAACTCTGAACCAATACTCGAATGTCATCTTATCAGAACTGTCAGTCAAACTAGAGCTATTTTGTACCTTTATATATAATGTAATACGGTATCTACACCACATGTTTTTTTACTTACGGCCACTGCAATTTTTTACTTTTCTGTAGCTGAAATAATAAATACACTCAGTCTCACTCTACTATCATAATCGCTGACGAAACGTACGTGACGAAAAAACCATGAAAGTCATTTGGACAATTTTGTGGATCCTATTGTTACTTTTCATCGGCTGGCCAATAGGTTTCTTCTGTGCTGGCTGGTACGTTTGTTTATCGCCGTTTGAGTCATGCCTCCTGATATGTAAAGACATTACAGAATTTCTGATGAAGGGAGTTCAGCTACCTTTAGAAATAGCTCGTCACGCAGTATCTGGGGCAGATTCTTGGTGAAATTAATGCATGCCAACATGCATCTTTATGCTAGACGGGAACAAACTAAATTAGTTAAATTGTTGATATCAGAAATTAGTTTTATTAACATTATCTTTAGGTAAATATTAATATGTATAATTCTCAGAAAACAGTGATGCATATTTGTGTATTTTTATCTTTAGGTAATTCGGTAAATATTAATATGTATAATTCTCAGAAAACAGTGATGCATATTTTGTCTCCGTTCACAGCTCTCAGCACACACATTAGCCGCTCAATCGCTAGAAAGATTCATTTCTTCGAACAACTACTGAACACCACGAAGTACCATAGTTTTCCTTGGGTCCGTTTGAAAAGAAAATTGAGTTTAGGTTAACTGCAGTCGGTCTGGGGCCTGGGGGGACGTCCACTCTAAAAGACCCATTAACTCAATTCTGGATAATTCTTGTTAGCTAACATTAATGCGAAGGACAAAATGCAAGCCCGCGCATTAGCTATTCACGCTAAGGGAATAAGGGATAGGAACTGAGCCTCGAACTAAGAAATACTTAAGGTATAATAGAATAAGACAAATTAAAGGGACTTACTGCATGATATACGTTAACACTTAGCATTTTATTTGAAGCATATATATCTCAGTTCACATTGATTACACAAGTTAGGATCACATCCAATATAGAAAAATATATCACATCATTCACATGCTTAAGAAATAATCTTGGTATATAAGAATGATAGTAAAAAGTATATAGTTGCCGTTATGTCACACATGTAAAAATATCGATGAAAAAACTTTCTTTAAGAGAGCATTATTCCACTGCATTCAAAATACAGCATCTAAAATAAAAAGCATGATTTTTGTCGAACGTGTCAACAAGTCGTATCCCGATGACACATGTTGAGTTTGGCAGTTGATGATGAAAATGGTCTAGATTACGCCTGGAAATGTACGGCCTGGCTTTTGTGGGGTTTCTCTTATGAGTTGTGTTTTTATCGTAGCCATTTCTGGTAAATTACCTTTTAAAATGTTAAAAACTTGACCATGGCTGTCGAGAAAAAAAAATTAGTGTAGCGAGATTTAATTGTAAAAATTATAGAACAATTAACTATACCCTATGTTTTAAATATATATATATATATATATATATATATATATATATATATATATATATATATATATATATATATATATATATATATAGCATATTCTTTAAACCGTATTGATATTAACAAGTAGATATTACTTTACATACCTGAAAGAAGACAGTTGGGAGATATACTACATTCTGGTACTATATTGGGAAAATATTTGAAAAATGCTATAGCGATGCATTTACATCTGGCGAGATATCTTTGCAACTTGCAATGCAACTAGAATTGCAGGCATCTAAACTAAAGACTAAAGTTGTCAAATACGAACATTTCTGCTAACGTTTTCTTAGCATTTCGCATTGCAAGTTGCAAGGCAAATTGAATAGTTTAACACCGCCTTTACAGTTGCTGAAAAGAATAACACCATGTGTCAGCAGATCTACATGCAGTAACTGTCACTAAACTTACTGGTAATGCGTATTGATAAGGTGTACAATCTGCAGTTGGCCATAGGTATGCGTAATAAGTATTCTCTGCATTGCTCGCTAAATCATAGACATGGAACAATAAATAATAAATCAAGATATAGAAATGCAGGGGAAATAATTTACATGAAATCTTGCATTAAGCAAACGTCAAATTTTATAAACGACCTTCAGTGTGTAACTTGACTATAAACCTTAGAGTGAAGTCCAAGGTAGGGTGTGGTCGGGCACACGAAATAGCAGAACAAAAAGAATGGAGGCCCTTTACTTTACCAACAACGCTTTGGAATCGTCTGCGTCAGAATTCATTCGGCGTCAGAAAGCTTATTTTCTCGGGGAAGCAACTTGAGTTTTATTACTCTATTACCCAAAAATCCGTGATGCAACATGATTTTCAAATCAATTTTCAATCGTTCAATTTTGCTCTCACTAGTGATATGCAGCGCCCAGTCACGCGAGACCACCTGTTTCAACATATACCTTGCGGTTGAGATAGTTTCTGATTTTTTAGTTTTTCCTCTTCAAATTGACCTTGACCCTGTAAGAACAGTCCTGTTTTAAACTGGCTACTAATGTGTAATTGAAAACGGCGGGCGTTATAGTGGCTAGGCCTATAAATAACGTGGCTAGGCCTTGGGACCTGGCAGAAAAAATTTGGAAGTGACAAATATCGAAACGAAACACAAAGGATAAAATACGCCCTTCCGGAAGCTCGTCACTTGGCTATAGAGCCTCGCTTACATAAAGTAAATTTGGCTTAGGGCCTTCACTTTGTAAAGTAAGATGCACAGTAATCTTATAAGAACCTAATACATTTACTATTAAGGCACTCGTGATCACATGAACAGTCACAAACAACAATGTAGAACGGCCTAAAATGTGTAGCATGAAAACGAGGCTCGATAGCCAATGCCATCTCCTTTCCGGAACTGAATATATTGTCGAACATAACCCCCCCCTAATACCCCCTGCGCCACCTCGACCTCTCGGTATACCTTTCTTCTGATAGCAGTTCGCACTCGAAGTGTCTTGCCTTGATATTCAATAGATCCCTGAATTAAAAATGAATAAACATTTTTTATATCTCGAATAATATAGAACTGAGACCGAATATTCTAATCGCCGGATAAAAAAATATTCACTCAACGTGAAAATTAACGAGGCTATGACAAAAGTACTTCAATTCCAATGAAAATCATCCTAAATGTATTTGTCCCCCAACCTTGCAAGCCAGCTTTTCTACCTGTAGGTAGCTGGCTTGCGAGGTTGTTTGTCCCCAATGGTTGGATCAGGCCCAGGGTCGCGAATACCTGATTGATAAGTTGTTTGCAAACTTCCACATCCTCAAAGGTTACAAATCCGTAGCTAAAAGATAACAGGTAAATTTACAAATCAACTGTGATTCCACATGAACCAAACAAGACACGCCAATGCTTCTTCTTCGAGCATTTACACGCTTAGGGAAGTGTCTGTGTCTTTATGCCAATCAGGCACACGCTATATTAAAAGGTCTATACCGGGCCATTACGTTTAAATTTCAAGATACAGGCACCTAGTAATGACTAGGTTAGACACTAGTAGTCAAGAAAAACTTTCTAAGATTATCGATCAGACGATCTGATCATCCTCGTTCCCAGGTTTTTCGCGTAATGCGTGCCAGTAGTGCGATCGATGCGATGTGATATTATTGGTATATTCAGCACCAACCCATGACATAAATTCGGGGGACGACCTGAAATCTAAAGGTCGGTGGTAAGACCTAGGCGCAACATAATGTATTTTTTTTGTAGTGAATGAATGTTCAAAACTGACTATTGCCCCTCCTTTTATCCCGCAAGGGAGGCCTGATTCGACAGGCGATATTTTCAAGTTAGCGAAATTACTGACAATTTTTCCGCGAAAATGTTGTACACATGCTTTCCAGTAAAAAAAATTCCAGTAAAAAAAAAATTCGATTCATTATATAGTTCAGTGATCTGTCAAGTGCATACGTTTCGGTCGACAGGAGAATATTTTGCATTGCAAGTATCTCTTGGTTCGTTTTATGACTGCATTTGTAAAGTCTGGTTGGATTTATAATTTTTAAAACTGAATGATTAATTATTTGCTATTGATTAGCTAAAGACTTAGCTATTGATTTTACGAGTACAACTGATAGAAGGAGCGTTGCATCTGTGAACAGGCTAACTGATACCGAATATACGCAAGAACAGCGCATCGACAATTAGTAATTAATTCAATGTTTTTTGTAATTTATTGTCATTACTCCGTGTGGTTAATCATCGACATGCTTACAATATCAAATTTGATTTTGGTAGACAAAATACGATAGCATTCCATGCCTCATTGCTAGAAATTCTACAAATTCCCATTTAGGGCCTGTACACACTAGGCGACAATCGCTGCAAAACGTCACTGCTACAAATCACTTCGTGTGCACATTTGGGCAATGATGATTGATGATATCCTTGTCATCGGAACGAAAAGGTTTTCGCACAAATCCCCCTGTTCAGACCGATCACACGATGAAATTTGTCGCTGCGACGAGTTGCAGCGACGTGTTGCAGCGATTTGTCGCGCCTATAGTGTGTACCGGCCTTGATCGGGTTGAGACCAAATGCTAATTTTAATTCCATTGACGAACATGGATAGAAGCAAATAAACTTTATGCTTCATAATTTGCTCAAAATAAATAGAGAAGGGGAAAATGCATCTATCGTATGATTCGGATAATTTGTGACATTCATGTAGATGCATGCAGGAGATTCAAACACGTGCATGGTCGAAAAATATAATTCTTGCCTGTTTCGGTTTGTCAGACGTCCTATTAACACATGCATTGACGTTTTAATAAGAAACGAATACTGTTATAATCAATGCTATTCTAAATACTAATACCATGCAAGAATGAGATTGTTTTTACCCCTTCGATACTCCGGTTTTTCGGTCGCATACAATTCGCACATCGATAACTGAACCACGGTCGGAGAAGAAGGTCTCCAATTGCATCTCAGTAAACTACAAAATGCCAGAATTTTCATTAATTGGGCCTTTAATTGCGACTATAAAAAATTTGACGACATTAGTCTATGCAATAGAAGAACATGTATCGGTAGATGGACTCGTGTCTGCAGGGAACTTTCTATGTATAATACTGATGTTGTGATAGTATTTTCATAATTATATATTATAATTTGTCGAGTAAAATGTGCATGCATGAATACCGTCTTTCTTACTTTGCGATCTAAGCCTCCAAGAAAAACTCTATTTGGAAATATTTCTTCCTTTATGAAACAAATAAGTAAAAAAGAACACGGTTTCTTATCATGTCAATTAAAACAAGAGCACAAAGGTTGCTGTATGGGACGCAAGATTAAGTTCTCAAAAAATATCAGCTCTACGTCTGCATACTTGATGATTTTTACACTGACACTGTAACTACGTCTACAACAAAGCTTTCCGTACCTCTGGCTGCGATTGTTCCACATAGTGTCCCATCATTTTGATTGAATTTGAAGTTAAAAAATATTAAAAACTTTCCCTTATTGGACCGCTTGCTCCTCGCGCCAGTGAAACTTAAAAACAAGTCGGTTTGTCGGCATGCAAATGAAAGACAGCGAAGGAATTCCAAACCATGTCAATTGTTAGTGTTGTCCAATAGGAAGCTATAGAAAGTCCCGCACGATTGAACATGGAGCTACAGAGTCAGAGGTATACGAGAATTACCATAGATACCTAAATATAATAGATATTTAACGATCGTTTGCATGTTGGTGCCATAGTTTGAATTTCAATGCCCTGACACTGCGTAATAAAGCTAAACGCAAATATATATACGAGGGATTGTCTAAATAATTACATGCATGCATAGAATTCTATTTGCTACGCAATCGCGTTTTGGTGTTTAAATTAGTTTTAAAAAAGTTTTCGTTTATGAGATACCTATATAGCCTGCATGCTATGAGATACCCTGAACCGATGTAAAGGAACGAATTTGCTTTGGTGCGAAATTGCGGCCAAATGCACTCTATACATAAACTCAAAAGCGGCGCCAATTAAAAATTTTTTCAAGAGACAAGAAGTCTGCAATCTGTCCCAATCATGTTAGGTCATCACCCTTGGGTCTTTATACTTGGCTTTGTCGGAACCAAATCAACCAATTCTGCGTTTTACAACACAGCTCCTTCTCTGTTTTGTATTAATCTCTTTAAACGTTGTTGAACTACATAAAAACTGAAAAAGCGCCAAATAGCTTTTGAACTAAATTTTGAATTTGAGAATTAATTTGTTCGAATGTAAAGGTAAGCCTAATAACTCTAAAGTTTGGCTGAAAACTGTATAAAGGTGAAAATATAGGTTGTATAATTAGTACAAGGTACGAAAAGCGCACTATTCCAAAAGTAAATTATTCAGAGTTTCGGTTTTTGGCTTTAGAGGACGGCGGTCAGAACGCCAAAAAAATACAAAACCAAAAGAGCGGCTGTTTTAAAGTATCAATTTTTATGTAAATAGTGCATGTGTCCTAAAAAATTGACACAGCTATTAGTGAAGTGGCTGGTGGAATTGGTTAAAGAAATTAAATTAGATTTAACTTATTAAAATTAGGTTTTTCGACATATAAAGAGTTAAATTATTTAAACGCATAACAAGAAATCTTTAAGCAATGGAACCTTAAACCCGATCCCGCGTAATATACCGGTAGTATTTATTATTCTTAGTATATTTCTCGTCTAAACTAGTATTCCCCGTTTTAAGCATAGAATGAGATTTGATAATTTATAAAACAAATTACAATTTTCAGTTCCTTTTATATATACATGTTGTAAAGTAGTGTGAACTAATGAATTATTCCTGCTGTTACTAAAGTTTGTTTTTCATGTGTATTAAGTTCGTTATTGAAAGACGGAAATGAAGGGTGTCCTGAAAATGCCCGGAGAAACTCGAGTAGATAGTTCTGAAACAAAAAAATCACTTTCTTAGAAGAAACGTGCATGTCACCTTATTTAAAATACCATATTGTGAAAAACAAAAAAATGCGTTATGCGTTACGAGGACAAAATTACCACACGACGTACAAAATGGAAAGTCAGTTTTAAAAATGCCCATCATTAGAACCACGCGAACGAATGCATCGCTCTCAGCTACATATAGACGATATAGGAGACAAATCTCCTTTCTTAATCGAAAGTCTACCAAATAAATACATCATTCAAATAGATCTAAAGTCGAGGCATATTAAACCAATGATGTCGGCATACCATCATACAATCTTCTCACAGACACAGCTTCAAATTTTGGACACGTACAATTAAACAATAGCATGGAATGAACATATCGATGATATGGTAGTAATTAAAGTCAGAGAAGTTTAAAAACTTGTGTGCATGCAGCATGCATGGATCGTAAAATACAAGTCACTCCACGTTAAGATAAAAGTAAACTATAAAATGTAGTCTGTTACCTGGATATCCATACTGTATATAGGGTCTTCCAAAACATCAGGATCATCTTCAACCTCATCGATAGGGAAATCAAATAAACTGTCAAATCCTGTGTAGAAAATTAAATGCATGATACTGATATTAATTTAGTTTATTCCATAATAAGACACAGTCAAATGAGTCAATGCATGTATATATACAGCAAAAGGTCCTCCTGATACAAATATAAAAATTCAGTTATTTGAAGTTTTACCTGGGAAATCTGTTGCTGGCGCAAACACAGATCCAAGGAGATTTTTCATAGCTCCGCCAGCGGTCATATCTTCTTCATCTTCTTCTTCCTCCCAATCATCATCATCCTAAAGAGAGCATAAATAATCAATAATCTTAATAATTATATTAAGGTGACATCATGCAATTATGCGCATCCCATGTTTTGCTCATCTCATGGGATGTGTATTTTTTGTGCGCTTATAGGACGGCGACTTCCAAAGTTTCGCTCCTTAACCGCAGCCTAGAATAGAAAGTCTGATAGCACACAAAGTTTGATTGGCTGTGCAAAACTAACGAGCAAAAAAAATTGTGCGACATCAATGATGTTATTACGAGAAAGCTTTATTTAGTAGTTCCAGATCACCTACTTCATCGGATCCTTCCTCGACATCCTCAGTGTTCTGATATAAATTCGATAATTCGTCCACAATAAGTTTATAAAATTTTAAAGGTGCCTGGATTTTCGTCCATTGTTCAGGTTCTATAAGATCAACACAGTATTATACAAACATATTGATAAAACTAATTAAATTGACCCCGAGCTGTGAGGTAGAAAAATGTTCCTAGCTCTCTTTTTCGCAAACACTTTATATCTTCCACTCACAATGTTGTGGACAAAAATAACACTAAGCTCGTTTTTCGATCAGTTCATCATTTCGCTTACGTCCGACAATGGCCTGGGCTGTTGAAAGGGCTAAGTGCTACTGTTCTTTCAAAAATTCTAATTGATCATCTGCCAGTGAATGGCCGCATTAAATGCCTGCGTTAAATGTCTTATCAATGTGTGCAACAAGATAATTTTGAATTAGCGATCAAAAAACTAAGTTCACAAAAATGACAATTTCAATTTCAAAGTAAATTAAGCAACTACATAATATCTTTAAAAATAAATCTTTGATAAAAAAACCCATACGTTTTGAGGCTTTTGATCTTGTTCTTATTATCCCTGGAAAAAAACGTTTACATGTAATATGACGAAATATAATTATAATGGCGATAAAATGACTGTAGTGTGAACGGGGCTCGAGTTGCCTATCCTTCTCTACATTCTTCTTTTTTTTCATAAAAAACTGTGTCATTTGGTACATGGAAACTATGGTTTAGTTTGATATCATCAGTTAAGATCGCATTCATTAATAAACAAACATAAACAGAATACCAGTTTCATGTTCCACGCGTCTTTCGCCTTTCACGATAATATCACTAAGTCTTCTATCTTCATTATTTATTGTATGTTCTAATAATTTACACATCGAGAGTATCCTACAAGACGGAAAGAATATGAAACATGCAGTATAATCTCAACCATCATTCCGTCAACCAACCGAGAGGCCTTAATTACTAAATGGGGTATCACTATTGCACTATTTCAGATATCGAATATTCTGAATGTAGCCTTGTAGGTTAAAGAATACAGCATAAAAAGGGATATACTAATTATACTTATAAAAGAGCACCAACGTGCACATAACCGTCATGTTGGACGCCTACCTAACTTTAGCGTCATACGTTCCATAAAATTCTTGCTGTCTCGTGCACCAAATATTAATTATGAAATCCAATGCAGATTTCCCAGAGGGATCTGGTACATTGGCCAGGAAGTTTAAAGTATCTTGAAGTCGATAATACATCAAACTTATGAAAACCATTATTAAAGACTAGAAAGAAAATGAACAAGGAATAGCAATGGACTACTGGATAAAGACTGTCTACTGTACATGTATGTACTGTATATAAATTATAAATATATTGGGCAAACAGCAATTTCCGATTTTAGAGCCTGATCTCTCTTCACAGGTAATTTAATGATCTGGGGGGGGGGGGGGGGTAGGTTTGGTATGAGTATGCATGTATATGAATATGTATGTATGTATATGTACATGAGTATCTATGTACTGATACAGTGCTATACTGCATAGTCTAAACTCGCCTATTTAATTTGAACTAGGAATTTTTAGCTTACTTGAATGACTGTGAGTGTATCACTTTGCTGTAATTTACTAAGGGTTTCTCGCAGCATAACGTCCAATTTTTCTCCAAGATTTTGTCCCACCTAGAGACAGAAATCTAGGTTTTGAAAATATATTTTCACAAGATGAATGCACATTTTCTAACGGTAGCAACTTGCCTTTTTTACGAGAATTATTATAAGTTTTCCCACAAAACATGAGGCATATTCAGAAATATTTGGATTAAGTAAATGCGAAATGACTTGAACAACATAAGCAATTCCACTATTAGATGAACTGTCGTGCCTGAAATAGATGAGTGAAAAAGGAAATTAAAAGGGATGAGTGAAAAAGGATTGGTGGAAACATAACAAAGCCTTCTTGCGACATATAAGATAATGAAGTTTCACGACATTAAAATGGCCTTGCAAAATGTGATTTTGTGGACCATTTCTGACACAAAGGAATTGGACCTACCAATTAATAAGTTGCTCCGAACCTTTAGAAACAAACGCACGAATGCACTCTCCACCGCTCTAAACAGACGAGTATAGAATAAGGGCGGGACATGATATCTACACACTGTGATGTACATTTTAGCCCTAGACGCATTATACACTGATACTGAGTATATATAATGCACCGCACTCTGTTGTACTGCACTGTACTCCACTGCACTGCAGTCCACTGTACAATTCCGCAAAGCACTGAACCGCACCGCACCAATTCACAGCGACGTACTTTATTGAGCGGTGTACAGCAGCACTATGTAATCCACTGAACTCTAATGCATTGCATGCTACTGGACCGCAATGACCGTATAAGTTCTTCAGGTTACCTGCAGCAACGCGTTGTCGTCTGAACGCAGAATAAAAGCTACCAAAGTTGGGAACACATTATTGATGAGAGCATCTGACAACACTTGGGGACTACCACGAATTATGTGACACAAAACATCTAAAGCAATCTGGAAGACAAATATGTAGACTAAATGTATCTGGGACTAGATTAAGTACTAAATTGAATGCGATGTTAAAATGTCTAGTGATGAAAAAATATTTATAACAAGACGTAAGATTAGCCTGAATATCTTGACTTACAGCTCTTATTCCTAACGGGACTTTCTCTTGATGGGCTTCCAATAAACTGACCAATGTTGGTAAAAACCTTTGTTGCAGAACCTGTTAATTTGGAATATATTTCATAATATATTTCATTTTGAAATATAACTAATGTAATACTACATAAACCTAGATTAGTCACCAATAATATTAAGATCAAAGATAATGCAAAACAATAATTGAATTATACTCAGATTTATAGAAGAACATGGTGTGTAGCGAGGTTCAAGCAAGACAACTACATACAATAACATTTCTCCTTACTGTGTATTTATGCATGCAGTATAAATGTGAAATCTTACTGGAAGACAGGCTTCGTTATATGCCAGTTCTTTGAATAGACCTTCTATGATTGGATTCAACTGTGGATCTTGGGAATAAAACAACAAAACATTTACTATTACACAGACAGAGCTTCTCAATTAGGTTTCTTAATTTTACTGGCCATCACCATTGGCATGAATTATTTAATGCAAGTATATTAAATACAACGACTGCATGCGATGGATTATTTTGTCAATCAAACGGCAACGGCTAGAATGGAAAGGCAATATCACAAATTGAAATTATCACGCATGTCCCTAAACGTAATAAACATTCCTATAATGGGCCCAGTTGTATAAAAAACTAGTTAACTTTTAATTGTAGTTAAGGACAGAATTGGCCAATCAGAATTGCGTATTTCTTAGTTAACTAGGATTTAACTTATGAAAAAGGTAGTTAAAGAGTTTTATACAACCGGCCCTGTAATTTATTCTTACCATTGCCATGTTTTAGGAACAAGGCTATCACCAAAGGAGAGATTTTGTCTTCCCATGACGCTGTTAATTCTTTATTCATCTGAAAAATTATAATAGGAAGCATTGATATATAGCTATACAGATATATCGAGATGTTTCTCATACTGCAAAATAAATTAATTTACAAGCAATTTAGAAATATTAAAAGGTTGATTGGTGAAAAATGAAAGTATGGGCGCATTTTCAGGCAGGAGAGAGAATTGACAAACTCCTAGAAAAACCCAGCACTCCCCGTAAACACCCAGTAATAAAAACTTTAACAATCTATTTACAGTGTTTGTACGTAGTAATTTTTTACACGAATACCACACCTGTATAAAATTAAACTTTACTTACACTAATTACAATTGATAAAGTTTCTAAAACCAAGGACAGAGCATCTTCTCGATACGTGGTTGACATGCTGATTAAACTGTTAAGTGCATCTGGTAGATACGAAGTTATTAACGCCGAGTTACCACTTGACTTCAATTGGTCACAGAACCTATATACGGAATACGTATATGAACGAACAGCAAGATTCTTATCATGCTGATTTAAAAAGGGCAACTATACTGTGCTCCACTTTTTGGAAAGCATTAAGGAAAATGTTTATTGCGATACTTAAAGCAATCTTAACAAAGATATGACAGTGTGCCATAAGTGTGCCATAATCTTGACTGCATGCTCTATGAACCGAAGACTATGTATTTCGCAGAATACCACATCTGCAAAGGTAACAGTTCTTTTGCACTATCAAACTTTCTGTGATCACAATAGGAGTCGTTCAGTTGTAAGAAGGATTTGTAAGAAATATCAGAGAGAAGTATAGAAGCTTTTAGTTAAATACTGTTTTAGCTCCATTACACATTCCTATAGCAAATCCTTCAAAATCCACAGTTTACCTGTGCAAATTTGCTGCTGTGATCAAAGAAACCTTCATAGTGCAAACCAGCCTTATAGCATAAAGTTTTACCCAAACGTCGCACGTGCGGCTCCAATTCGAATGGCTGGATCTTGATTTTCATGTAATCCGCTGACAGTACCTTGAAGAAACCTGTTGAGGAAAATATTGATGATAACGAATCTTTAATGACTAAAATTTCTGGTTTTAATACAATGATGGACCTCTAATACATACATTAGTTACCAATCTGAAATGACCAAAAGTGCTTAGCATGCGGTAAAAATAAAAAAACACTATTGAAACCGCTCATTTTTCCTATAGATATAATACTGTATAAATTCGTTACGGTTCACCCTGTCATGGGTAAGCTCTTATAGAAAGTTGTAATAATAACCTTGCTAATAAATCTGGTGGCATCTCACGGGTGAACCTGCTGCTAAACCACAGAGCACGACCAATAAGAAATGGCGATGCTGTAAAGGAAAAGCCTCAATCATACATTGAAATTGGATGAATTTGTCAATTGAAATACTTGTGTAGACGGTTAGAGAACGAGGGATGCAAGACCAAACCAGCCAACCATGCATGGACGAGGTGGAAAATGTTACCCTGTTGTCGTACGGTTCTATAATTAAGTTTCCGCTCTCCGTAGCTTAGTCATATAGCGTGAGAACTATTCCGCGAAATAGCTTCAGATGCGTAGGTTCGATTCCTGACAAAGGACTGGCATTTTCGCAACGTTCTTTGTTTGACCATAACCTTTGATCATAACCATAACAGTAACATAATCTTCCGAATGGTATGTAACTAGTAATTAATCTTTTTACCACGTATATTTCACCATTTACCTGATGCGTCAAGAGCTGGCAGCACAACTTCAGTTAAAAATCTTGGAATATCGAATTGTAGTTGACATTTGGACACTTTTTCTGATATAAGCGGTTGAATAGACCCTACTGCTAGCATACACGATTCGTCTACTTTCCACCTGTACAGTAATAAGACGAAATATCTATGATCATTATCTACAGTACATTTATAGCTTATACCATGCAGATAGTTTATTGTATAAAGTAAATATGACCTGATATACCCATGCAATGTTTATAACGTCACATTAATCCATACAGCATCTATATATAGTGCAGTGTAATGCGAAACGCGATTTCGTGTACTTACAGTAATTACGACCTTTTCATATGTATAAAATCACATGTATTGCAGAGTTATATGAATACATTAGATTAAATCAACTCACCAAAACTGTTCTCCAGATGATTTAGCCAGCTGTGATTCCTGCAAGTGTTTCGACAACGCTTGGACCAGACAAGTAGCCGTTTCATGTTTCATTTCTGCAGCAAGAGACTAAAACAATCACGAAAAAAATTGAAATATTTTTTTAATAAAATAAAGTACGCGGGTATGTAGCTAACAGTCTCTACTGGTCGCTGGCTATATATAGACAATTATGAAGTATGTATTCTCACCAACAACAGATTTTGGGCGGATATCCTAACGGAAAACGAGAAGGTTTCGTCGTCTTCATCTTCAACAAATCTATTAGGGTCTGAAGACCACGCACATGCCTAGAAAATGATGAAGAAACCCGTGGCAGCGTGAATGGTGTCGGAAAACGTACATAATTTTGAAATGGCATAACGTATTCTGGCGTACATGTACTACCACATAGGTATTGTAGTCAATAGAAATATTTATAAATGATAGGGTAATGTACAGACCTGATCTTCGGTGATTTCCATATAAACAAGAAGAAAATACAATAATTGTTCTAAGTGAGTTTTGACAACAGCTTTAAACTTCGATGATTCCACTAAGGCATGAATAAAGTCGAACACATGAAAAACCACTGTTTCAAAACCAAGGATTTCCCCTAAAAACAATGAAAAATACATTGGAAGTTAGAAGTTACTATTTCTCTTTCAACGGCAAATTACAAATAAATGCTAATTGTGTCTTTTGCAACATTTTCCCCAAGCTATCAAATTGTATATTGATATGGAATGCTGCATTCTCTTGGCCAAACTGCACTGACACTGTATAAATATTTTAATCCGCTATAATATACACTGTATGTATGTGTGTACATTATGTGTTTATACACTGAATCATAATCGGTGTGATTAGTATCATCCTACCATCAGAATCAACAGGATCATCAGCGTCTTCGATGTAATTGATAACGGTCTTATGATAACGATCAGCTCCCTGCGTTAACGTATTCCATACATGAGGAAGCACGTCGCCAAGATAAACAGCCATTTCTTTAGGGAAGTGGGTTATTAATGTTGCCAAGGCCTTGAGATGAAATTGAGACATGGATGCAAAATATCATAATATTATACTTGCATAATGCATGAACATTAAAATTTTAATCTAAACAGGCAAAATTACAAAATAGATATCCAGGTGTTCTGAAATGGCGGAAAAGAACTGGGACTAGTTGTGGAATAAAAATCGATTTCTTGGTTGAAAACAGTGAACTGTAATAAAACCTGGAACGCTAACTCTTATAGTTCAGCGTAATGCTTGTTTAAGCTAAAGATTGCAGCAAAAAATTGAATTTTTGACTCTGTTTCTCGTTCAATGTTTATAAAAATCAGCAAATGATTGTATTTTACATAGTTCCAGATATTCCTAGATAATTACTCTCTACGTTTGTCTTAAACGTTCAAACTACCTTCAAATTCCAGGTTTTATTACAGTTCACTGGTTGAAACAACTTTATTTCATTTCAGTTTCAAATTTATGTTAGAGTTAATATAGGTTGTATAAACATAACAAAATTTCGACTTGTTTCATGAAGAATAGTAGAGATACAATGGATTAAATTCTGTACAATGGACGTTTGACATCCCATTTGAGCTCTGTGTTGCTAAAAGATGAGCGCCGAGCGTGAGACCACCTGGACTGTTTACCATGGTATGCACGTACTTTGAAACACAACTTACCCTAAGGACTTCCATTTTTAAACCACAATCAGAGGTTTCTCCATCGGGCACAGCAAGAACGTGAGTTAATAAAGGTGGAAAGTTCTTTAGAACTGGGAATAACTGTTTGGCAACGGACTAGATGTGCAAAATTTAGAATTTTGTTACTATTTGTACTTGTATATACATACTGTAAATTTTGCAATACTGTGCTTTTCTACAGCTTTTTAGTTTGTCCCTGTATCGTGAACATACATACCTTTGCACAAGATGTTCCAATCAATTCAGCAAAAGTATTGAATATGTTAACAGCTCTGCTTCTCGTTCGAATACTATATTTCTTTAATGAGAAGGGAAATCGTCAATTTCTGCACGCTTTACTCATTCCATGAACAGGCATAGAAACCAGAAGATTATATAGTTATAAGGCATAGTGCATGATTTGTACCGCTTTTACATAAACCGCTCATGCAGTATAAGTATATTAAGGCATGTACAGTATAAGCCGAGATTCTGTCTACATGTATATACCTTCCATTTGTGTGGCGGAATCATCTGAACGTACGTGAGGACTGATGCAATATTTTTTATAACTGACAATTATAGTTGATTTGAGAGGTTACTAGCTGGGAAGGTCGAGGTTTGGGTACCGTGACCAGACCTTTAGAACCGTTATACTTATACTGTAAATCATCATTTTGCCTTTACCTTATCTTCTGTTAGTATAAGACACATCTGGGGAAGAATTATAGGTGCAACTTGGGGAATCTGAGTGTCTGTAACTTCACTTGAAAACTCAGTGAGTACACGCATTGCACCATGAACAAAATTGCTATCATCAGACAATAATGCGTGCATCAGAGTTCCAAACAAATCTGGCCACACCTCGGGCCAATCCCAGTGAGCTATTGCTGAGATAGCGTACGCCTGAAAGACGAAAAAGGTAAATAACAATGAAATGATAATGAACGTTCAGCATCCACAGGTAAGACAATGTGTATACAGTACAAATATACGTTAAATTTGTACCGATTGTCTTAACTGTCGGCGTTTTACGATGTATTAAATTAACCTTAAATCAGGCAATCTATGTAGTCCTCCTCTTCGGCGATCGATAAACCCAAAAATTGGGCAGCTAGTAGTCAGTATGCAAACAACAATAAGGGCAGTTTGGTACATATACATGGACGTTTCTTTGGAAGTCAATCAGAGTTTTCAGCTACTTGTACATGTATGTTTAACCAGATAAAATACTAAGTGTATGTATGTACTCTTCACATTTATGTGTAGGTAATCTCCTAGGACAATGAGAAGTTTTAACATAGTTTGACGGAACCCAACTACAGTGAGTTCATATTGATAGAGAAAAATAAATCACCTACCACGCTAGAACGAATTTTACTGGTTGGATCTTGTAAACCATGGGGAAGAAGTGCGCGAATAGCAACTTTTGCCTGAAATAGTCCAAAACATTATTTTTAATAAAATGTACACACAGATACAAAAGGGAAAAGTATGGAAATGTTGTAATGATGATGATAGTGCTACTCTGAGTTACCAACTAAATACACAATACAAATTTAACTGAGTTTTAAAACTGTATTTGTCCTTTTTTAAAAAAAATTATGGGAAAATGATGGCAGTCTTCCTTTTGTCCCCCAAAACTTCCTTTACTCAAATTGTCAAGTCATTTAATAAAAAAAAATTTTATCACTTTAAATTTATTGTTTTGATGACTGCATGTTAGAGATTTTGTGTTTCTTTTAAACAATTTTAAAATTTCATGACAATTGCCTATGCAAAAATTAGTAGCCTCAAGATTCAATTATCATGGTACCATATATAGGATATGGTGTAACAAATCTTTTTCAGTTTTACACCCTTTTTATCAGCAAAGTTAAGAGAGTTGTAAGGGCTAAAAATTACATAAACAAGTTACATAACTATAAATCCTGCTCTTGAAAATGTTGTAAAAAAGCACCCCTTCTTAAGGTATTACTGACAAAGTTACTGTAATCCTTTGTTTTTACTTACTTTGCTAGAAGTCTCTGGTGGTGTAAATTTCTCTGATATTACTGACCAATGAATTTGAACATATTGTTTCAGGACAACAGAAGCCAACTAAATATTATCAGAAGAGGACAAAATGAATGGACAAAATTATTTTAGGACATTTAGTCGATGTTTTATTAGCAGCAAAAGGAATTTTGGTTGACAAATTAAACATTGGGCAGATGATTTGGCAAAAACTTGTTGTCATTTCTAACTATGATATTATGGTACCTGTCTAATTGGCAAGGCTCCATTTACATCAACTGAAAGTTGTGCCAAATGGACACCATAGTCTAAACAATAAAAAACAACACAGAACAAATGTATTATATTGATGAACTATCAGCAGATAATTGTTGCATTATATCTATTACTTTGCTTCGCTTCAATATCCTTGTCAGTTTCACTTGCCAAAAGTTCCTTTCTTTCCTACCAGCTAGTGTGTTAATTAGCAGCTAATGTGTTAAAACAAATAATTAGCCTCAGCTAGATTATAGCCTCTGGCCTCACAAGTGCACTAAAATATTCATAATTGGGTACTAATTTGGATACATAATTCCCATAAGTTTGAATTAATACCCAAGTTTGCACTTCTTCCCCACTTTCTCTTGCCTAGGCTAAAGGGTGGACACTCGCCCAGTAAATCAATAAAGTAAATAAATCCATTCCTGCATAACGTTCATCATCCTGCAACATGTATTGCTATCATCCCAGACATATATCACGGGTCATAACTACGTATTAAATGAACGCAAATTAAAGACTAACATTAAAAATTTCAACACACTACACGACATTTTTTATTCTTAGTCATTTTATTGCGGGTTCTGCAAGATCTATATTGCAAACACTTATATTATATAACGAATAACGATACCAAAAATATACATTAAAACTAAAAAACAATGTATATTTTCTTTACGTACTTTCGGTTACTTCGAGTAACTTCAATCTCTCCTCAGCTGCTGACCGAATAATTTGCTGTGGTGATAAAATATGAGTAAGACATTCAATCAAAGTTTCTCGAAGAGCTATATTATTGTTGCCTTCTTGATCCGCCATATTGTGCGCAAAAATGATAAATGGCGGGAAATTTTAAAGTTCCTTTTTTGCGCATGATCGCGTAAAGAATTTTCTTTATTCTGCTTTATTTTTCTGAAATTCTCTCCTATTGCCTTTATCAAGACTGAATTCTTTGTTTCCCTCGACATTTCGCGGGGCTAGGCTGCGGTGTTCCAGGACATACCACAATATACGGACAAAATTCACTTTTGTCACTTTTTCGATACGAACTCTAGTTTATAATCATTTCGAACTTCGAAGCAAAGCGAACCAGTAGCAGTGCATCGTTCACAAATGACAAATATTTTAGAAACCAATTTACATGTCGGTATAGATAGAAAAACAGACTGCCGAGTCAGTGAATGACATCACCGATGACATACGACAATGTGCAAGTTGACCAGTGAGAGCAAATATCCCCAATTATTAAAAAACCCCTAAATAAGTCAATATTTGTTAGTATGGTCTATGGGCGAAGGAGATATAGGTTGGTTGTACTTGAAAAAATCAAAAGAGGAATAAAAAAACGAATTAGAATTCTTAATTGTGGAACACGTTTACTTCCTTGTTCCAAGTTCCTGACTCCTGAGTTCCTGTTGTGGTTTTAAATTTTAATACTAGTCAGTTGTGTTATGCATATGCAATCATTCCTGCGTTGCCAAGGTCTTGAAAGTCACGATAGTAGCGCCGTGGCGCAGAATGGTAAATTAAATCAGGGTGCCATTTTTTAAGAGGCAAAATGCGAACAGAAAATTTGTAATCCACATTCCACACGATATGGGAAATGGAGCAGCAGTGCCGTCCAAAGATGCGCGCCAAATTGCGCCAGGTGAAAATGATCATACAACTTTGGGTACAAAAGGGCAAACCATCGGTGGGCTTGCTCGGTTAGCAGAAGCAAAAAGTAAATTCATCAACACAAAGGGGAGAAGGGAAGCTTTGAAGGCCTCAAAACGGGTATGAAAATCATAAGTTTAAAATGTATCAATTAAATCACAAAAGTCACTGTCGGAGCGATCTTTGATTTTGGTTGCTAGGGACACCCTGCCAATAAACTATTCTAAGCTGGGCAATACAACGTTAATATTATAGCGGATAAAATATATAAGTGTAAAAATTGGTATGTTTAAAACTTGTGTTGACTAATAGAGTCGCGCAAAGTAGGGTAAAGGCTTCATAGTATAACCCTTTTACGCAGGAGAATACCTTTAAAAGGCTTTAGTTATTAGACATGGGATAATTGGTGGTGAGAGTGTCCAGGAATTTTTTCTGATTATTAATCTGAGATCATATTCTGTGTGATAGATTAAAGGTACAAATTTCATCAAAGAACTATACCATAGATTGGATCCAAATATTGCCTTGCCTAATGCTGTGGATGTCACAGGAGAAATTCAGTTGGCATTCAAATATGATAGAGAAGAAAGATTTTTGCTGTTGAAAGTAATTAAAGCAAGAGAGTTGGTACCACGCAATGTCATTGGTTACTCTGATCCATATGCTATTATAAAAATTGTTCCTGATAGGTAGATATAGTATTACTAAACACTAAACTATTCATATATGGAATAAAGAGAGGTTCCTCCTCCTGGATATGACTATCAATTACTAAACAGATTTCTGCTCAGTTCTCGGTGTTATGCAGTTGTCTTTTTTTAACTGGTTTCTCTAATGTATCTTATAATAGTGTAGCCACCTTTATAATCTTGGAACCCCCTTATCTTTTTAAGGTGGCTCCTCTCTAATATAGTTCTCTCTTTAACATGCCACCTTTCAATGTAGTCGCCTCTCTAATTTAGTGCCCTTTCTAACATAAACACCTCACAATGTAGTCCCCTCTCTAGGGTAGTCGCCTCTTTTATGTAGTCCCCTCTTTATTTAGTCACCTCTTTATTTAGTCACCTTCTAATCTACACATTTTTTCAATATATGATCACCTCTCTAATGTAGTCACCTCTCTAATGGAAGCACCTCACCAATATCGTCCTCTCTTTAACATAGACATCTCTCTAATGTAGTCACCTATCTAATGTAGTCCTCTCTCTAAGTGAACCCTTCTCTAATCTGTCTGTTGTCCCACACTCTCTCTAACATAGGCACCTCTTCCATAGTTACCTGTCTAATATGACCATCTCTCTAATGTAAACACATATCTGATAGATACATAGCTCTCTCCTACAGTTTCTTCAATGTAGACACCTCTCTAATATAGATACCTCTCCCGCAGTTACCAGTCTAACGTAGCTAAAATTCTATCTCTCTAATGTAAACACATATCTTTTTCCTCCAGTAACCAATCTAATACAGTCTTTTCTAATGTACCCCATTTCTATATAGTTACCTGTAGTGTACAGTAATTGCATACACTAATGTAATGACATGCACCAATGTCGACACACACCTCTTACATTTACTTATCCCTCTAATGTAATCACCTTTCTAATTTAGACTCCTTCCCTGTAGTTAACACTTCAATGCAGTCATGTCTCTAATGTAGCCACTCCCCTATACATACGTAATGTTGACACCTCTCTCCTGTAGTCTCCTTTCTAATGTAGACACCTTTTCTGCAGTCAAGTTTCTATTATTCTTTCTCCTGTAGTCGCCTCTCTAATGTAGACACCACTAGTGTGGTTGACTCTCATTGTGATTATCTCCCTAATAATCTCTTCGTATTTTTCTCACTAATGTTTAATCTGGTCATTGCCAATTTGGGATAGTAAGTAGTAACTGGGTTAAATTCTATAATATGTTGAATTCTAGATACAATGAAGGAGTTAAGAAGACCAGAAAAAAGTTAAGAACTCTTAATCCTATCTTTCAAGAGATATTTTCTTTCACGTTGGAAGAAGAGGATATTTTCGATACGAAAGTGTGTGTTGATCTGTATGATCACGATGTAGTTGGTACGGATGATTTCATGGGGCAAGCTGTTGTTGATATATCACACATGAATTTGTCTAATGAATTGACACACAGCGAGTGGTTTATGCTCCAGCAACAGGTATAGAATATGTTTTTCTGATGATAAAATTTCAGAATGACGACCGATGTGTTGGATTCTATCAGTTGCAATCTTGACTAGCAGGGTGTAGTTGATGATGAGATTTAGGCTATGTGCACACGGTAACGTGCACACCAAAACGGTTTCAAACACCGTCAATTTACAATAGATGTTAAAGCTAATTTAACATATTAAGCACTTTTTCCCTTGGAACGTGTGGACAGGGCGTCTAAACAATAAAATAGACAAAAACGTAAATAGGTGAAAACGCTCCAAAACGACGCTCGTGTGCACATAGCCTTATATGCTTTCGTAAATTCACTGCAGAAACAATATTCTTTATATCTAGACTGATTTCTCTGTAACTGGTGAAGTTGAGGTTTCTCTGTACCAAGAACTTGATTCTCTTTTCGTAACAATTCATAAAGCAAAGGATCTCTTGTTTTGTGAATGCAATGAATGTGGCACATACATATCAATTCACATCCCATTCACAAACCAAAGCAGGAATACAGAGGTATTTGTAAACTAGTCATGCAGTAATAGGTAAATTGCATTGGGATGATAATGTCTTTATTTGGGCATGTGTGTAAATAAATACAAGCTGGGAAGGAGGAAAGTAGAGGATTGTAAAGTATAGAGTCGTATAGGCAGCTCGGACGCCAACTACAGGGCAGCGTATTATGGAATTTACTGACGATTCTGGTCCGAGGTTGATTGCTGCGTAGTATCATCAGTGTTACCTCGGCCCACTTAAGATAAAAAATAGGAGATGTTTTACGCTTTGTTACCTCATTGCTAGATTATCAATAGTTGTGTCGATCCTGAATTTGAAGAGACATTTGAATTTGATGTATCGATTGACGATCTCTCGCACAGGTAAATCACTACAGTTAAATATTATTATTAATTGTATGGTATAAATATTTCAAATAAATAAATCACTAAGCTTACGGGGCAGCAGTATTATGTGAAGATGATTTCTATAACTATGATTTAACGGGTAAGAGCAGAGGAAAACATGTGGGCGTGGCCCGCGATTTGCCCCCTTTCTTTTTGAGTAATTCTGAGAATTGTTAATTCTAGAACAATTATTATGCACATTTACCGAGTAACTGACGGCGAAGAGAGACATATCGGAAATGTAAACATAAATCTCAAAAGACACTGTTCAGGTCAACGTTCAAGAAATTGGTATCGTGTTGTTGATATGGTATGGGAATGTGTCATAAAAACGCTGCCTTCAAATATTTGTCCTGGTTATACATTGATTAATTTGGAATCCAAATACATCCGATAGTTTAAAAAATCATTATAAGATGATACCTTAAGATCAACCATTCATTTTAAAAGTAGAGAGCAGATATGCGTTTTGCTTTTAAACTTCATTGCTTTTTTCAAATCTTCATTGTTTTTCTACGTTGAGTAATGTTGGCTAAAACAAATTTTCTCTTTTATAAAAGATATGTAGTAATTTGCTATGCTAAATTTTATATATTCATAGTAAAATTTGTGTTCGATATAAGCTCATTCCGAATGATTATCTTTATAGCATGTGTATGCAACATGCTAAAAATTCGATACATACGGAACAGCTAAAGCATGGGTGTAATGCATTTTACAACTTGCATGTACGCGTGGTAATCAAATCAATGTCAATGTCAATTGTCAATGTCAATCAGAAAAAACCTATAGTCCTAGCCACGACTTTTTACGGCTGAACTAGCCATGATTCGCTTTTCACACGAAGTTTTCGTTTGTCTTTCTCTTGAGCATGAGCATTTTTTTCTTTCAGAGGAACACGGCGCGGGAACGAACGAGACTAGGAGAAAGTGTCGTTGCACAAGAATTTCGTGAAGCAATGTTTGCTCATACATTATATCATTGCCCTTTCTTCATGTTTCGTGATATTAACACCGGAAAAAAGGTCAGTATATTTTTATTGATCAGGGGTAAACTTTGATAGACAATTAGCTTTTGACTAATACAGTTTATCAATTTATGACCAATTATCAGGTTTACTCTGTGATGTGCCGTCAAGCTTCGTCTTCTTCGAAAATGGTTCTGGTAAATGGTACACCACTTCGCTAATCTAATTTATATTCCTATTAGCGGCTATGCAAATGCTCTATATAAGTGTGAATAAGTTATATAATATAGCATTACTTATATGTATGGATATGTAATGTTTGAATAAAATTCTCTTTAACAATGGAGTGAAATTGCAATTTGATTTGGCTGACAATCCTTACAACCACAAAATCGTTACCCTACCCTATAAATTTGTAGTGGGCTTGGTTTGCGATTAGTACGTGTAATATGCGTATATATAGGGAATACTATGCGAATAGAATCAGTAGAATCATCTTTCAATTGAAATCGTGCAGATTCTATCATGACCGAAAGTTATGATAAACCAGGCATCCATTGATGTGGTATACAACTTACAACAAAGTCTTTTTCAGAATAGTGTTTATATAATATTAAGTAAAGCTCAGTCTACCTTCAGGGCCGAAACTAGAACGATAATAAGTGCAATAGCTTACAAAAGAAATCCCAGTTCGGGCGGAACTGAATATACGAGCAAACACCACAGAAAAGAGGTTGGCTTGCACCCATCTTGTTTAACTTATGGTATGCGATTACTGAAAAAACATTAGTTTTACAGTTGCTGAAATATACGAATATGAATTCAACTCTTCACAAACAGTAAGGAACCACCTTAAGTAATAACATTAATCATGATAATTTAGTGCACTATGGTTCGTCCGATATTCTTCGCCACTGTAATATGATAAAAAGCTAGATTGAACTCTCTTGAAAAGTTGTTAGGCTATCAGAGCATGTTACATAGCATCGGTGCATGCACGTGTTAAACACTCAGCCTCAGGTTATTACCCCGTTCATGGTGTTGTTTTCATAGCGGCTGTTGTTTACAATGTTGTTTTATACAACCTGTGATATAACAACTTATTAAAGTTCTAAAAGACTGTTGACAACCATGTTTGAGGTGCCCGCAGAATATTCGGCCGGTTTCCATCACTTGGGATCTGCTTGAGCATTTCTATTTAGACAGATACGGATAGGCCACTTTAAAGATTCATAGCTATTTGCGATTTCCGATTTGCACAACCTGTTTAGTTATTCATATTTTCGCATGGATCGAGATTCGAGAACGTGCACTTCTTTGTTATGTCATCATATCCCCTCGGTAAAAGGTATAGTTGTTTAAACTGTGATCAACAGATGTTAACATGTACTTTACAATGGAGTACAAAAGAGCTATTTATGTACCAAAATCGCGACTATAAAATCTGGCTTTAATAAGACTAGAACGTTTTCGATAGAAATTGAAAATTCTTGTTCTCACCGTATGTAGCCGGCTCGCCTTGTCCATGGTCATGCAGATTCATCTTATAGTATAGTCTCAGTATATTTTTTGTATGCCGGACTGCATGCCAAAAAATCGATATTCATGCAGTTTACATGCCTCACTGCACTGTCTTCCGAATGTAACAACATGCGTATAAAGCATGCTAACTCTTATTAGAGCACATGTTCATATGATCACCGAGACGTCCTAGTTTCCATATATAAATTGGATTGTAGAATATTGCTTCTGCAACAAAAGCCATGGGTTTGATAAATATAAGGTACTTGAATGGGATCGTGTCCTTTATTTATCAAACCCATGGCTTTTGTTGCAGGAGAAGCGATATTCTACAATGAGTAAAATCCAATTTACATCTATAATGTAGCTAAAATAATAGAGTATCTGCTTAGCAGAAATTTCTATTTACAAAGAACAGAATTATATTATATAATGTAAATCCAAAACATCTTTTTAAAAAAAAAGTTTGTAACATGTGATCCCATGATTTTTTGCACACACTTGCATAGTATTGCATAATAGTTGCATAATATAATACAACGTATTATCGTGGAGGATATATGGAATGATTTCGATCCACTCTTGTCTCTTTTGTCTTGTCTCTTGATTCAATTCTTATTTTTCTCATCGATTTATGCATTCAATACGTGAAGAAAACGTCGATAGAGTAGACTGCGGAAAAATTCTATGATTTGACATTACTTTGAATGCACTTCATGTGTCATGTTAACAATAAATACAGATTGTAACACCATAAACTACAGGGTGTAAAAAAAGAACCATTAGAAACCCTGTTGCTTTTTGTTTATTAGAAATTTAATTCAATTGTTTGTGCTTTTTATATACACACCCGTTTTATAATCAGCGTATAGCCATGAAAGTTACAACAATGAAGCTGATTTTCAAAGGTCAACACCTTGTAAAATTAAATTCTTCATGGATTGCATGCTCTCTTGATGAAATCTGCAATCAGACATGTGGATCTTGGTGTACCGGTTTCTTTAACAGTGAGTACTCCATACACATATGGTTTATCGTGTGTTCTTAGATGCACTTGTAACTGCAATTAATGTAATAATCACCTTTTCCTCGTGTTTTATTCTCTAGGGATGATTAATATCACAGGCGTGGTTAGCAGGTAACATGGTTTGTGGGAGCCATGCAGAGAGTCAGGCCTTCATAAAAACTAAAAATAATCCTTGCTCGCTTAAAAGATGTTTCCTAATTACTGATCCACTTCAAGGTGCACAGATTCTATATAGCTCCTTGTAGAAATCCACATCTTTATAACCCACTATTAATCAGTTGACTTCCAAATCTTTTTACATTGGGCATCTCAATGTCATATATATATATAGGTCAACATGTTTATTAGCACGTTCATTTTATATGTTTACTGGCTTTTTATTTTTATGTTTCAGGCAAACAAATATGCTCTAGTGTATCATCCTTAGGTCCCAAGGGAGCTGGAGGAACAATGAGAGCAAATTTGTATTCTCCAACCTATTTGCATGCATAGATACCCACGTCACATTGCTTGAAAAATGTCATGATCGAGTCCATCCATCATGGGAGGAATTGTATACAAGAAGATAGTTCGAAAAGAAGAAAGTATGAAAAAATGCTGTCCAATACATGTTAAAGTTCCAACCGGATGGAGGCTATTAAGGTGAAAATAGCAACGTACATCAAATTATCCAAAAAAGAAGAAGAAGAACATACGAAGCGGTCCATATGATCGAGTAAAACTGTATGATTTATTAGGGGGGGGAGGAGTTGGGGGGACATTGGACAAGATATATTAATCGGATATATGGGAAATTATAGAAAACTGCATGGGCAATATATTGAAGATAAAAAAAGTGAAGAGAAATGAAAGTAAAGAAAGAAAAGTTTACGCTGGAAAAAAGTGGAAAGCATTGGAAAATATTCTACAACGAAATGAAAAAAGTGTTGCCAACACTAGCATGTCAATCAACGACGTTTTAAGATCAAAAAAGGTGGTATAGTACAAAAACCTCCATAACAAAAAAAAATGAAAAGACAAGTATTACGGATCTGAACCAAGTAATAGGTTTAGGAAATATATCTTTTTGATGCCAGGCTTAAATCATATTACTGATATTTTATTTCTAATCTGGCATGGTAAACCATCCAAAAATGAGTGTTCCATGATATTTAACCTGTCACTCTGCATATACAGTGGGTGTGGCAAACGAGAGATGAATTATGTTCATGTAAATTCAAGTGTTGAATGACTGAGGCTGTCGCTAATGATCACATGAATCATGAAAGAAATATTCGTTAATGAATATGGTAAACTAGTTTTTTTTTTATTTTTTCGACAGCCGTTGAAGAATTCCAAATATAATACAAGTTCCTTCGGTATTCTTCTCTATTTGGATTCAGATGAGAATCATTGGATCACTGAGATTGCTATTATAATACGTCAAATAATGTGTCTGAAAGCCTTTCTAACAGATAGTGCATGTCAAGAGGTAAAATGCATCAGTGTCTTTAACGATTAATCCTTACTGATTGACCTAAATCAGAAAATGACTTGGTTACGAAAGACATGGTATTATAAAAACAAATATCGAAATAGCTATATTAAAAATTGACTTAATATATCAGTCTTTTCCGTGACACTGACGTAAAGCTATAATGCATTGAATACTCAAGAATAAAGGGTCAAAATAGGTCGTTGGATGGGACTCCGAGGACGACGAAGCTAAAGCCTGATTCTCATATGTCACCGACGGTCGGCGATGTATTGTTTGTGGTCGTTGACGAAGAAACTTTATACAAAATAACAAAGCACTTTATTCTCCAGTGATCACCGACAATATCCATCGCCGCCCGTCGGTTACATATGAGAATCAGGCTTAAAGATTTTACGTGATCGAATATTGCCTATACGTCCCCGCCTACGTCACAGGAGTGTCTTTTCTGGTTTCTTTCGTTCTTCTGTTTCTTGGCATGCAGGTCCAATCAGTCCTCGCTCTAAATTTTGATAATTTTGATGCACGAGTCCTATGTTCGATATGGGTTACGGTAATCAAAATGTTTCAGGGAATTAGAAGAGCCCATGCCAAGTGAGATCAAATGATATTCCAATTTAATAAAATGTGCTCGAATAAAATATAGGAATTAATTATAGAAATATAGAATTATCAATTTAATTATCGCAGGCAAAACAGTTTATTTTTAAGTGATTAGAGTTTTTTAACTTTAATGATGTGACCCTTATAGAGAATGGTATCTTGTTTGCCATATATATACGCGTGCCTGCATGATTGTAATTCAATAAAACATACCGGAGAAACTATTGATATCTTGGAAAAGGAAGTTAGCTACTTTTCCCTATAAGTGAGCCTCGTGGCCCCAAATATAGAAAAACCAATCAAAATCTAGTAATCTGACATTCGGCTCCTGCAGGAGTCTAGGCTCCTAGTATCAGATACTAGGTATATAGGAATACATATATAATTATATATATATACTTTTTCTTTTTCTCCTCTGTTAATTTGTCAAGCTATATAGGCCGTATAGTTCGCATTAAGGCCTGGATCATACTGAGGCCATGCAGTATGAATATACTATATATAACTTCGCTTCAAATGTGGTATATAACAACTGCCTATAAAATAGACAAAAACACTTCTCGACATAGGGCCCTTACTTAGGTCGAAACGTCGAGAAGTGTTTTTGTCTATTGGATATCGATCTGCATTCTATTATTGGAAACAATGTTGAGTTTTCATTGATCACAGACAATTGATTGAGAACATTGAAAATTGAAAAAAAT